TTTTGGTACCCTGTAGGCCTATAGGCCTTTGTACCTATGTACCCCTTATGTCAAGGTTTTGTTTCTATATAATGTGTATGTGCATATTATAAATGTACCTTATTCAAGAAAATATTATATTTTCTTGAATAAAGGTACATTTATATATAGCTTACTAGAGAGAGAGAGAGACAGATGTTCAAAATGTATTTGTATTCTTCACAATGACCACTTCAATGACACCATTCTCCATCTCTATGTGGAACACCCAAAGTATAAATTCTTCTCTGTTTGGACAGAAATATAGAACAGATTAATTTAAAGAGAACACACAAAATGTAGACATTATTATCCTCCAAGAGACCTGGTGTAGATCTGATTCCAACATCCACTGTCCCCCAAATTACAAACAAATTACAAATTATTCTGCCCTCGATCAAAAACCCAGCAATTAAATAAGGGAGAGACTCAGGAGTCATTATAATTTGGCACAAATTCGAACTCTCAAAATATATAACAATAATAAAATCTGAGCCCTCCCGCATCTGGATTAAACTATCCAAGAGTACAGAAAATGATTTGTTTTTATGTACAATATATGTTCCTCCGAGTGACTCTCCTTACTACAGCGAGGAAATATTCCCACACCTCCAATCTGCAGATTTCAGGCCCAAGGAAAAGTGTTGATCTGTGGAGACCTCAACGCACGTACTGGAACCCATCCAGACTCATACTCAGAGAGTGGTAACAAACACATATTTGGACAAAACTTTCCCCGCAACACCACAAGTCTTCCTCGCCATAATTCTGACCCTGAGATAAACAAGAATGGGAGAGACCTGCTCCAACTCTGTCAAAGCCTCAGTCTGTACATTGTTAACGGTAGGTTTAGAGGTGACTCTTTGGGAAGACCCACCTTCTGCTCACCTCTTGGCACGAGTACCGTAGATTACATGATAACAGATTTGGACCCGCTCTCTCTCAGTTCATTTATAGTCAAACCTCTAACACCTCTATCGGATCACAGCCAAATGACTGTGTTCATGAAAAGAACAGAAACTAACAGTCCACAATCTGAGCCCAATAATCTGTTTAACACTAAAAGAAAATACAAATGGGCTCCAGACAGTGCACAAGAGTTCCAGAAAGCCTTGTGAAGCACCTTGAGATTACGTTGTTTTTAAAGTGTGCTATATAGATCAAATGCATTATTATTATTATTATTAAAGCTATCGGAAACGAACAAATTCAAAGACTCTTAGACAACTTTCTGGACACCACATATGACTACAATAAAGAAGGCATAGACCTGGAAGTTAGAAAAATTAACCAAATCTTCATGAGAACAGCTCATACATCCCAACTGAAGAAATGCAGCAACAAGGCCCCAAAACAAAAATAAATCAACTGGTTTGATGAAGAATGCCAACAAAAAAGGAAAGAACTTAGGAAAATATCGAACCAAAAACATAGAGATCCAAGCAACGCAGACGTACGCCTCCTTTACTGCGACATGATCAAACAATACAAATGTACAATCAAAATCAAGAAGGCTCAGTACACACAAAAACAACTAACAATAATCGAGGAGTCTTTAAACACAAACAGATTCTGGGAAAACTGGAAAAATCTAAATGAAAGTAAACACGATGACCCAGTTATACAGAATGGAGACATCTGGACCGATCACTTTAAAAATCTGTGTGGTAACATTCCTATCAATTCTGACTCAGAACAAACACAAATAACTGAAAAGTTCCACAAATTAGAATGGGTCATCCAGGACTCCCAGAACCCTTTGGACTTTCTAATTACTGAACAGGAACTGGAAAAAAAGTTGATTAACCTAAAACCAAAAAAAGCAAGTGGGCTTGACGGCATATTGAACGAGATGCTAAAACACACAAGTAAAAAGATCAGATTGGCTATACTCAAACTATTCAATTTGATCCTGACTGTAGGTTACTTTCCTGACAGCTGGAATCGTGGTCTCATAACACCCATTTTTAAAAACGGCGATAAATCTGACCCTAATAATTACAGAGGCATTTGTGTGAACAGTAACCTGGGGAAGGTCTTTTGTAGTATTATAAATTCCCGGCTTATAGACTTCCTTACGAAACACAATGTCCTGAGCAAAAGCCAAATTGGATTCTTACCAAATCACCGCACATCAGACCACATTTACACCCTACACACCCTAATTGACAAATATGTTAATCAAAATAAAAGCAAAATATTTGCCTGTTTCATTGATTTCCAAAAAGCATTTGACTCGATTTGGCATGTTGGTCTCTTCAACAAACTCCTTCAAAGCGGTATAGGGGGAAAAACATTTGACCTAATAAAATCTATGTACACAAACAACATGTGCAGCATCAAGATCGGACACAAAAGAACAACCTTCATTTCTCAAGAACGGGGAGTAAGACAAGGATGCTGTTTATCACCGGCCCTGTTCAACATCTACATTAACAAACTGGCCACTATCTTAGAACAGTCCACAGCACCTGGGCTCACACTTCACAAAATAGAGATCAAATTCCTGCTGTATGCAGATGATTTAATCCTGTTAAGCCCGACAAAAGAAGGACTTCAACAGAGTTTAAACATACTCGAAGGTTACTGTCAGACCTGGGCCATGGCAATTAACATAAAAAAGACAAAAACAATGATATTTAAAAAAAGATCCAGATGTCAGGCAAACAATATTGACTTTACAATTGGGACACAAACAATAGACAATTGCTCAGAATATAATTATTTAAGCCTGAAAATAAGTTCCACTGGAAGCTTTAATCAAGCTGTGAAGGAACTGAGAGAGAAAGCACGCAGGGCGTTTTATGCAATAAAAAGACAAATTCACATTCAAATTCCAATTTTAATTTGGCTTAAATTACTTCAATCAGTATTGGTTCAACCCATCCTACTCTATGGAAGCGAAGTGTAGGGCCCACAAACAAACCAAACATTTGACAAATGGGAAAATCATCCAATAGAAAATGCTCACAATGAGTTTTGCAAACGCATCGTCCAGGTTCACAGGAGAACAAAACGCCTACAGAGCGGAATTAGGCACATTTCCATTATTAATAAAAATCCAGAAACGATCAATTAAATATTGGCTACATCTAAAAGAAAGTGACCCCCACTCCTACCACCACAAAGCCCTGCAGCATCAAGAGATGAACAAGGGAAAGAGTCCCCTCTCTCAGCTGGTCCTGAAACTCTGTTCACAAACCGGCTCAAACGGTGTTCTGCGTCAGGACCAGTGAGCCCACAACTATTATGGCGCATTTCCACCACGGCGCGGAGCGCGGTTTAAGCGTGCCGTGTCGTGCCGGGCCCGACAAAATCGTGGTTCTATCGGGGCCAACAAACAGGGCTGAGTCGGGCTGAGTTTGCTAAACTAGAGAGAGCGTCGCTGGCAAGGGGGCTACAACTACAACAAGATGAACATATTTGACCGTGATTTAATTGTAATACACGTTTCAAAAATGATGCCGAAGTAACAACATACTGATACCGGTTAGTAAAAACCATGAATTAATGCTTTGACAAGTCTGCAGACAGACGGCAGGCGAAAAACCTTTTAAAATGCGCGTTGTCTAAATGGAGATCGGCTAAGCTAACGCAATATATGCTCCGACCGTCCACACTCACAACAACGGCCTATACAGACATAAATAAACCAGCGACTATACTCGCCATGACACAGACAGTCTGTGGTTTGTACTTGTTTAACTTTTGTCTAGTTTCTGAACAGATATGAGGAGCTGTGAGCTTGAGTGCTAACAGCTAACGGCTGATGTTGTTTTTCTGGGGTTCTCATTGAAGATGACGTCACGGCTCCGCCTACACTGCGTTACTATAGTACTATAGTACTGTAATGGAAACGCAGCATTAAAGTGAGCCGGGCCTAACAAGGCCTAACAAAACCGTACTAAGTCGAGCGAGGCCTGTGGTGGAAATGCGCCATTAGAGTCAACCAAATTACAGGGGTATAAATTAGCAACCTATTCACAGTGACAGGTATCTAATAACATTTCATCCAGCCGTGCTTTAAAATGATGCAAGGGAATCAAAATGCTCAGTTTCAATGTTTTTTGCATAGTGTTCCAAGCTAGAGGAGCAGCGCACATAAAAGCCTAACCCTCAGCTTTTTAAGCAGATTAATGACCTGAAGTTTAAAAGTAAGACAATCATCAAGCCAGATACCAAGGTATTTGTAACAGGTAACCACTTCGAGTACTTGCATAGTAACAATATCCAAAGCAGTCTCTTGAGTCTTTTTAGCTCATGCCAACAATGTGGAGGAACTGCTGTGGAGACAGAGCAGCACTTCCTCACACAATGCCCAACTTTTGAACCTATACGGAAACAATTCTTCCCAAAACTCAATCATAAGCATCCTCAAATATTTAAAAATGAAAATGAAAAACTAAAAATACTTCTGGGGGAATATAAAGAGAGCTGCATTGTTGCAGGACAGTTTGTCTCTGCCTGTCACAGTTTGAGGGAATCGGAATGAGCAGATACACCAGGTCTCACATCTTATAGCCTATAGCTTATGTATATATTTCATATTCTATTTTGTATTAATGTATTATATGAATGAAATTAATCTGTATTCCTTGTAAAAAAAACAAACATGTTCTTTGCAGTTTGTTTATAACTGTTTATTTGTGTGTATTTTTGTATAGATGTTACAACTATACAGAGCTTTGGCAATACTGTATGAGAGAGAGAGATGCGAGCTGAGAGAGAGAGAGAGAGAGAGAGATGAGAGAGAGAGAGAGAGAGAGAAGAGAGAGAGAGAGAGAGAGAGAGAGAGAGAGAGAAGAGAGAGAGAGGAGAGGAGAGAAGAGAAGAGAGAGAGAGAGAGAGGAGAGAGAGAGAGAGAGGGAGAGGAGAGAGAGAGAGAGGAGAGAGAGAGGAGAGAGAGAGAGACTCTTTTGAACGCGCCTCCTCGCGATGCGCTTGCGACGCTCACTAATCCGAGGCTCCAGGTCGGTGGCAGTTTCCAGAAGAGAGAGGGTGAAACACACAGGGAAACTCGCGAGGCTCTGTGTATCTTACCTTCCTGTTAGCACCGGTCTGTGAGCCCCGGGCAGAGGCAGTCCTCCCTGCGGCCCCTGCTGCAGCCTCTCCCGCGCAGAGAGCGGGATGTGCTGGGTGCTGGAGCGGAGCCCTGAGAGCAGTGGGCTGGGGATGGAGAGCCGCGGGAAGTTCGCTCTCTACTTCCAGACGACGCTCAGTGCGGATTAACGGCGCTATTGCTTTTACTGGAGGGTTGAATAACTTATTACATATTTTGGCTGTAGAATTACTGTAGTTCCTTTTGTTTCTGAGCTGAATGATGGTTTAAAAATGCTCTGGCTCACCCCCGGAGTGTTCCTGCTGCCTGGCTGAGCCGCTGCCTCTGGATCTGTGGTCATATCTGGAGTTATTTACATTTTATTGGACTTGACATTAACAGGACTCAATACATCCAGGTCCAATGACCGTCTAATGTCCGTGCTGAGTGTGACCAGTCTTGTTGTGACATGGAAAAAACGCGACTCTACAGCCTGCTTTACTACTTCATCCTCAATTCGCCCTTTATGATTTGTGCAAATGGTAAGTGAGTCCCCGCTGATGAAGCAAATGGAGAAGGGAATACATTATTTGACGTCGGAAATAGACAGTGGCTTTAAAATGCTTTAAATGAAAACAAATGCCACCTGTCTGCAGCATTAAATATACCCTGCTAGTTTAAAACTAAGCCTGTTTTTTTCTTTCTCTACAATTATTTAATACTTGAGAATTGTGACAATAAATCAACCTGAAAACCACAGAATGACCCAGCTGTGCCCCCATCACAGCATCATGGAACAGAGGGAGGATTGCTCTCCATTATTTGATCAAATAAAGCCTGAGGCACATTTCTATGTCTGATGTGCTCTCATAAATCCATGTTAGTCTATAAATCACAGCTAATGGGGACTATTGGAGGAGATCCTAAAAATAGAGGAAGTCTGCATGATGGCAGGGTAATGGATTACCAAACTCTGGATTGTTAGGCTTATGTTTTACACAGCATCTCCACCATGCCATCCCACTCATATTAATGTGCTTCTGGTGTCTTGTGTGTCTCCTCACCCATCATATACCAAAGCTGCATTTACTGAAGTCCCTAAAGATGTGAGTGTGGGGGAGGGAGAGGACGTGGAGATGCCCTGCGCCTTCAAGGCTGTCAGCGCGGCCCCCATGTCTCTGGAGATCCAGTGGTGGTACCTGAAGGAGGACGTGCCTGGAGATCTGCATCACGAGCTGCAGATCAGTGCTCCGGCCCACAGAGCCAAGGTAACTGCACAAGCACCTGAACCTCAAGTATACATAACGCAGGTCTCTCTGTGTGTGTGTGTGTGTGTGTGTGTGTGTGTGTGTGTGTGTGTGTGTGTGTGTGTGTGTGTGTGTGTGTGTGTGTGTGTGTGTGTGTGTGTGTGTGTGGTGTGTGTGTGTGTGTGTGTGTGTGTGTGTGTGTGTGTGTGTGTGTGTGTGTGTGTGTGTGTGTGTGTGTGTGTGTGTGTGTGTGTGTGTGTGTGTGTGTGTGTGCTGTTAGTGCCACAGTGTATATTGTGCTACATCTTTAAAGCAGATCTTACCCAGCAGTGGATGATGTCAGATGCACTTCCACCACACTGAAAACACTTCAACGTTGACTTAGATATATAATGTCAACTAATTTCACATAACTAATAAGTTAGTTGAAAGTAATAATATTAAGTTGAACCTTATTTAAACTTTATATTATTGCTTTCAACCAACCTAATGCAGTTATGTGAAATCTGTTGACAACACATTTCATTAAAGTCAACTTTTCAGTTTTTTCAGTGCATGTTTATCTGTCAGCGATCAGCATTGGTGCACTATGCATACATGCATTTGCAGTGAAGGTAAATCAAAAGGCTGCACATATTTGGAGAGTTTTTATATTCATTGGCCTGTTGCAGACAGTTTCTTTAATCTTTTGAGTTTCCTATTTTTTTAAGTAAGGATCCCAGTGTTTGAAAGCGATGCATTTGTCGATGAATCCTGAGCATTCCCTCTGTGGCGATGGCTCTCTGGCTGCTGAAAGGGCACTTGTTGGTTATCAACACCATTACATTCCTCTCAGGTCCGCCACCATGATAGAATATTGTGGCAGGAGGAATTTATTTTCCCTCCAGCATCACAAATCAGTCTTTCTCAGTTGTCAGAGGAGTCAGGGACAATCACATCCGCAGCGTTTTCCTCTGCGGTTTAAGCACATTAAGACATTCAGCGGGGGTAGGAAGAGAGAGAGAGAGGTTATCAATGGCGTCTTTGAGAAATGTACGCAGCCAGCTCTGCTCACGCTGTATGCTCTCTGCACTAAATGAAAAACACATCACATGTTAATGTTACTAATAATGTGAATCTTTTACTAATGCAGCAGCTAATGCCCTGTTGATTGGTGGACCTGTTTCAATACATGTGATTTACAATGCTTTCTTGTTTCAGGTCGTTCCAAGGGAAGCCACAAAAATAAGTGTAAGTGTCCACTCTCCTGACTGCACACACTCAAGTGTTTTTTCGAGGACTATGATTGGATAAATGATGTTCATATTAATTCATATATGTTCAGGCTAAATCCCATTCTGAGAGTAGTAGCTCTGACTTTTGTGTTCTCTTTAATGAGAAATAAACATCTAAGCATTCCTGTTAATTAAATATTGATCTTGGCGTATCAGAAGTTAAAGAGATGATTATTATGCATATTTTGCTCATTCTTTTTTGTGACTATTCACCCAGGACTTTAGTCTCATGCCGATACAGCGTCAGCCTTTCTTAATGTCAGGATTATGTCAACAGGCTGTGGCAGGCTCAGCTTTGGTTACGTGTTTTGGTGCAGTGATGACGTAGTTTGTAGGCCAACTCTAAAGTTAGCATCACAGGGCTCCCTTTACCAAAAGTAATGGGATTTTTCCATTGGATTTCAGAATATTGCTTAACAAATAAGCTCTGTGGGAAACATGTTTATGATACTTACATGTTTTGTTCAGCAGGATAAGCCAAGAGCAAGGGGCCGACAGATCAGGGTTATTCTACCAAATATTGAAATAAACCATTATTATTGCGGTGTTTAAAAATAACCATGACGTTATTTTCTATGCAGTATTTCAGGTCTGAAATGACCTAATTTATTTGGGTTATTTCAACCAGATACCCTTTTCTGTAAAAAGAAAATCCCTAAATGACAATATTTTTTAAATGTTTATTTTACTCAAACACATAGTTCTGCCTATAAATAATGAAACCACAGAAGCTGCATCTATATATTTAAATCTCCACATATTGTATGATTTTTGAAGCGTAAATGCAATCGCCAGAAGTAAAAAGCTAGCGTTGGACATGAATATAGCTGACATTGCCACATTTCAGTGTTTCCTTCTTCCTCTGCCTGTATCCAGACCGTGCGTGTCCAGGGCAGCGCTATCTCCCACCGCCTCAGCCTGTCCAAGGTAAAGAAGGAGGAGGAGGGGGTGTACGAGTGCCGCGTGTCGGACCTGTGGGCGGACGAGTCTCAGGACTTTACGGTTCACGCCATGCTGCACGTGTCGCTGGGGGACGGCATGGTGGCCGAGGAGGCGGTGTCACACATCCAGAACCGCTGGCCGCTGAGGAACACCAACACGGCGCTGGGGGGGGGCGCAGGGGGGAGGGCCACCTCGGAGCCTGAACAGGGGCTGGCAGGGGGTCAGAAGGCAGGGCAGGGGAGGCACCGGGTGCCTCAGCAGGCCCAGCCCGGCCTCCTCCCCTCCATCTCCTCCACCACCACCTCCTCCGTGGCCAAGTCATCCGCTTCCCCCCTGCAGAGGAACGCAGCCATCCTCCGCCAGCAGCTGGGAGCGGGTGAGTGGGAGGGGGAGAGGGAGCAGAGCCACAGTGACCCCTAGTGGGGGCAGGATGGAGGAAGCTGGTGATTTAGGCATACAGATCTGACATCTGTCTCACTAACTCACCTCTGAGCTCATGTGCTGCTTCAGTCAGACAAACTGTTTCTCTTTGTCTCGTTGTTGTGGACGCTGTTGAAGCCATTTTGCATATTTATAAGATTTGTTGCAGCTGTGGCTGTATCATTCAGAGGCTCCTCACAGGGACCAGTATGTGCAGCCTTTTATTAGAGATGAGATGAGATTAGATACACACTATTGAATTGGAATTATCTTTGCCACAGCAGCATGGTTACAAGGCATTGCAAATGACTTCATATATAATACAATTAAAAATAAAAACAACCATAAAGAAGAAGAAGAAGAAGATTTAATATATACATATCAACATAAAAATAAAAATCTGTTGATTATTTTTTGAATCAGAAACAGAAACACTTTACTAATCCCAGGGGGAATTGGTTTGTGTGACAGTTGCTTCATTATAGAATAAATAAAAGTTAAAATGATTATAATTTGATGTTAAAGGATGTTTTAGATTTCCCTGTGTATCGATGAATTATAGTGACTGTAGGTGTGGTTTTGGCCCTATAATTTAGGACAGGCGAACTGTACACACTGAATGGAAGGGCAAACAACGTTCAACCGCACAGTGAACTACGCACGGTACGAGCCATCTGTAATGCGCAGTAGGGCAAATATTTTGTTAAAGGTTGTTGTACTTTGTGCTTAGTTTTTCTTTAAATAAACGGACGACAATGGATCATTAAGATGGATGCACGTTGATGTTCTGACAGCTCATAACAGAAGGTGTTTCAGTGTGACATACACTGTGGAGGTTTCTGATCAATGGACCTGTTTGTTATGTCGATACGGTTAGGGCTGTATACTGTCAATGGTTTAATCGACACTGAATACCTCTTGATATTAACATCCGTTCATTCAAATATTCTAGAATTACTCTGAGTTCACTGCAGTGTGTTTCATTCTGACATCTTTGAAAAAAGAGAGAGATAGCTATAGTATAGGAGGCCTTTAAGTTGCATGCAATATAAGCTGTGTTATGTCCATATTTAAATGTTGACACCTGTAGTGAGCACTGACACATTTAACATATATATATTTTTTATGACAGCATATATTATCACTTATCCTAAAAGATACATTCCTTCATACAGATGTTGTATTGAGAGAGCATGTGTATCAGGGATCATGTGACATTACCCATCTCAGAGATCTCCATCATCTCCTCGCATGACCCAGCCACACCTCTGGCACACTTTCCAAATCTCTTCTAATCAGGCAGATGGCACAGGGACGGGACGGGGGGGGGTTGAATGCATCTTTGTTATCTACCTCCCCATAGCTCTTCGACCTGCCCCAGTTCTGTTCAATTAAGCACACTTGTGAATAATTAAAACTCATGGAGGTCTGGAGGACTCCTGTCAGCCGCTGTGTTAATGCAGACAGCTCTCACACACCTCACACACACTGAGAGCCTTCATACCTGCATGAGCCGGCTTCAGAGAGCAGTCTGAGTGTTGGGAGTATTAGAGGTGATATTCCTTCTGCTGTGTGTGCCTGCTGAACACACTGTTTGCACAGCTGTGTGTGCAGCCCTTTATTACAGATGTCTAACAGAGAAGAGATTAGATTCTTTGTTGATCCCAAATTGGACAACTGTTTTGTTACAGCAACATGTTCACAAGGCATTGGTGAGTTAAAAAATACATTAAAATCTAAAAACAAACATAAACGGTAGTAATAATAACAGTAAATATATACAATTCAACATCAGAAAAATTAATATCTGCAGAGAATTTATATAATACATTACATATAATTAATAACATGTAATGAATAAGTTATAATACACTGTAGAAGACCAACTAAAACCAAATGGACAAACATAGGACACTATATATACAAGTGTGCACCTTGCCATTATTTTTATTCAAATTGAAATGCAAAGAATAAGAGATAATAAGAAGTAGGGATGCTCCGATCGATCGGCCACCGAACGATATCGGCCGATACTCACTCTCAGCCGATCGATCGGTGCTCTCTAAAAATGCCGATCGCGAGGGCCGATCGCATGACGTAAAATTATGACGTAAAATACATGACACTTTTCTCTGTGCGCGGCAAAACAAGCTCGCCAAAATGGCTTCACCAGTCTGGCAGTATTTTAAGGTGTCCGAAAATGACAATAAAATAGCGGTATGCAACGTGTGTGTGAAGCAGAAATCCTGCAGCTCCACCCGCTGTGACGGACCGGTGAGCGGAGCGAAACACACAAGAGTTAGACCTAACACACTTAGCTATTTTATCTACCTCTGGAACAAGCTAAACTAGTTATAAATATGTTTATTCTTCACTGTCGGGTCACTCATTACTGGATCAGTGAGCTGCAGGAGATACTGACGGGCTGTCAGGAGAGAGAGAGGGGGAGAGAGGAAAAGAGAGCGCTTCCGCTCATTTCTCCCGTGTTATTATCCAAAGTTAATGTAAACTTGAATAATGTACTTCATTTGAATGTAATAATTATGTCGGTTGTTGTTTGTGGAAGCGCCAGTGAATGAGCCCCATTAACTGCATTTTAAACATCACCTTAAATGGAAGATCCCCATAGGCCCCACCCACTCGATCTGATCGGTCGATACTGATTCCGGCGATCGGCCCCAAAATTGGCGATCGGAGCATAAGAAGTGTTGACTGACAAATGTTTCATTAGCATTTGATTCATTTTACCCATTTCTTTTAAAATATGACAGTAACTAGTAACTTTAAATTGATGATTAAATTAAAATGTATCTTCAAGTGCATTTGTAAAAACATTTATGAGCATTGTAGGAGCATATCTGCCCCTTTTGATATATGCAATATTATTATTTTTTACTTAAAGATGTCCTATTCTGCTTTTTTGGGTTTCTTTTCCCTCTCCTGTAGTGTGTTCTATAGGTTTTAGTGCATGTAAATGGTCTACAAAGGCTAAAATCCCTGTGTTCCCTCCAGAGGGTCTTACTCTCTTTCACTAAAGTTGTAAAATGCACTAAAAACCGAATCCAGATGTGTTTTCTCTCTCGGGCTTAAGGGAAAACTCAACTGCGCATGCACTTTGAGTGCACATACGGGTACTCCTGCTCTGACAGCCAGGCATGGGTAATCATTTGTGATGTTTGCTCTCGAAAATGTCCGGCCATTTGGTCTTCATGCGCCAATGAGCAGCTCTCATAGGAATGAACAAGATCCTGCCTCTGGCGCTGTATCCAGTTCTTATTATACATCCATGGTTGTACGTGATAGGCTAAGGGGTGGGACTGATATACACCTGAACATCAGCAGGAGAGGACTCTTTAAAGTAGAGACACTACATACTGATATACACCTGAACATCAGTAGGAGAGGACTCTTTAAAGTAGAGACACTACATACTGATATACACCTGAACATCGGCAGGAGAGGACTCTTTAAAGTAGACACACTACATACTGATACCTGAACATCGGCAGGAGAGGACTCTTTAAAGTAGACACACTACATACTGATATACACCTGAACATCGGCAGGAGAGGACTCTTTAAAGTAGACACACTACATACTGATATACACCTGAACATCGGCAGGAGAGGACTCTTTAAAGTAGAGACACTACATACTGATATACACCTGAACATCAGCAGGAGAGGACTCTTTAAAGTAGACACACTACATACTGATATACACCTGAACATCGGCAGGAGAGGACTCTTTAAAGTAGACACACTACATACTGATATACGCCTGAACATCGGCAGGAGAGGACTCTATGAAGGTAGATATGGTGCAAAATGCGAGAGCGTGTAAAACCTGATGTGAGCACTTGCAGAAAAAAAATCTGAGCTTGTGTGCATACATTTACACTTGTATAAAATATCCACTTATCTGTGAACCAAATTTGAAGTCACAGAAGAAAAAAAAAATGTGTAGCTTGTAGAAAAAAAATGTGTTAGAACTTAGTGATGCACTTAGTGTTCACTTGCAGAAAAATATATATTTTTTAAATATATTTTCCATTACAACTGCAACTTGGTCATTACAACTTCACGAATCTGCTCTGTGGCAGTATAAATCGACGAATCTGCGGCCTTGACTTTTGCTACACTTCTTGCGATGAATGTGTCGCTAAAGTAATTTTCACCTGTAGATGTGGGGGGAGGGAGGGGGGTTGGAGCGAAGGGGCGGAGCTATCAGAACGACGAGGCGCAAGCTCAGGTCAGTCACACACAAACAAGTGACTACTGTTGCCCCTTTCACACCAACGCAGCTCCCGTTCTAGCTCCGTGCTTCGCTCACAACAACAACAATGGGGGACTGCGTCGGGTCGATGATCGTGTTACTTTTAATCATACGAAGCCAGATTAAATTAAATAACTACTTCTCCAACCTTGTACTTTTCTCCAGAGTGCCGTGGTTCCTTTGTTTATTAATGTGTTACAGCGGCATTTACCGACCGCTGCAGTGCTGCTCGTCCACTGGAGTTTATTTTCATTTAATTTAATTTCAAACCTTTATTTCTCCCGTTAACTCACAGCAGCGGCCGCTGTAAAGTATTCACTGTCTGACTGTCACACAAGCAGCTGATACATATCCCCAGTTCCCCTTAAGTGAATGTGTGTCAGTCTGAATTGACGCTGTTTGGCATCACAACGCTGTTATAAAAGTTTCTCTGGTATAAAATGGGTGATGTTAGCATAGCAACTGAAGCTAAACTGACTATCTTGACTAGGCTACTTGTTGCTTGTTGCTATAACTTGTGGCATAAGCCGTTTTCTACAGGCACATTTTACCGGCGTATTTTTCATTATGATTCTACTTGTGATAGTCGGACATGACAACCTGTGCAGCCCATGTATTGATTCCATCCGATAGCTGGTATAATACAAAACAAAACGTCTGCCCCCTCCACAATGATCAATA